TAAGCTGCCCTCTTTCGCCTACGGAGAACTCAATGGAACCCGAGAAGTGATTGTTGTCCCGACAGGGGAGGATTACGTAATCATAGGGCTGAAGGCTCAATAGAGGATTGCGCTACTGGGCGGAGGCTACGCAAGCCTCCGCCCCGCCAAGCCGCCACTCCCAAAGCAATCTAGTGCCAGGGTCCTGTCAGACGCTTTGATTGACATCACCAGAACAGCCGACCGCCTGTCTCTCCCAACCCTCCCAACCACACATACTGCAGATTGCAGATCACCGCCTGACAAACTTTGCCGCGTGCAAACAGCAAAAGCACATGGCCTTAGCAACGGTTCCGTGACCAGCCGCTCGATCTGCCATTTGGCGCAACACAGCATGCTGCATCCCGGGTTTCGTAATCATGTCTCGGCAAGCCAACCGAGCACCACTGACGAGGCCTGAAACCCTCTTTGGCGGCTGTGCAGTGGTAAATCAGGACGGTTGGCAATACAGGCTCCACTTTATCGACACTGGGACCGCGTACGCTGCCCTGCCATCTTGGTGCAAGTATTACGAATGTAGCCGTGCTTGGAGTGGGCATGGTGTCGGATGTGAGACACAGAGTGTGCGTGTGCTTAGTCCTCGTGGTCCTCGTACGGAATTTTTTGACATGCTGGTTTGTCCCCTTGCTAGATCCCGTATCGTATCGATAACATGGCGAGCTTACTGGTGCCTCGAAGATCACAAGGCATGGCTATGCAGCTTTAGCCAGGACATATCCGGTATCATAAGGGGATTAGCAAAGGTGCAAACTGATGTGCAAAAGTCCTGCAAGCATGGAGGCGCAGTGGATTGTTTGCTATGTATATGAATGATGCATGCCTCCGGCTCTGGTGGCGTTCAGAAAACCATTCCACACTCTTAGCTACATTACCATTTATTTTCCGAGATTTCTTTGTGAAACTCAAAGGTTAGGATTCCTTGATATTGACTTTGAGCTGGTGGACACGACTAGTCGTATCACTACTTAAGACTATCGAGACGATCACCAGTAGCTATCTGAATCGACGGGATAGCTTCTGTACACACGATTTGCGACTTCACATAGCCACTTTGCAATGTTCCCACGAACGATTCTGAAGGCGACAGCGCTGCTCCCCTTGCTCTACAACCCCGCCTCCGCACAGAACGCCTGCAACAACTCTCCATCACTATGCAGTAGAGCGTACAACAACATCACACACCTTGGCGCTCATAACTCGGCCTTCCTGCGAGACGAATCCACGTCCTTTTCGATATCCGGCAACCACTACTACAACACAACTGTACAGCTAGAAGCAGGTGTACGCTTACTGTCCGCACAAGTCCATCAGACCAATGACAGTGGGGCGGAAGCGTGGCATCTCTGCCACAGCAGTTGCACGCTGCTCGATGCCGGAAGTCTAGAGGGTTGGCTCCGCGAGATCAAAACCTGGATGGACGCGAATCCTAACGACGTCGTCACCATCCTCCTCGTCAACGCAGATGACGCCTCAGCCGCTGACCTAGGCCCCCAATTCAGCGCATCCGGCATCGACACCTACGCCTACACCCCACCCTCTCCTACTACCATTCCCACCACATGGCCAACCCTCGACTCCCTCATCGGCAACAACACCCGCCTCATCACCTTCATCGCCACCCTTAACCAGCCCTCGCCACAATACCCCTACCTCCTCGACCAATACGCCTTCACGTTTGAAAACAACTTTGAAAACATCAACCCCTCCAACTACTCGTGCAATCCCAGCCGCCCCGATTTCCTCGCCGACCCGGCCTCTGCCCTCCAGTCCAACCGCATGTTCGTGATGAACCACTTCCTGTACGAGACCCAGATCCTCGGTATCCAGACCCCCAACGCAACCTATGCCAACGTCACGAATGCACAGACGGGCTTTGGCAGCTTGGGCGAGAGCGTGCGCGAGTGCACAGGTGTCTATGGCAAGCCGCCTAGCTTCGTCATGGTCGACTTCTTCAACATGGGTCCTGCGATTGCGAGCGTGGATGATGCGAATGGCGTGCGGGATGTTACGGGCAGGAGACAGCTGAGTACGGAGGCGGTGACGCCGGGGAGCCCGGGGACGAGTGGCGTTGGGAGGGAAAGGGGGAGTCTGTTTGCCGTGGTTGTGGCCGTGGTTGTGGCTGTTGCTTTTGGGGCGTGAGGAGTGGGGTTGATGGTATGATGGCATGATGGCTATTACGCTTTTTTTTAGCTGGTTTCTCTGTTATCTCATTGCATGGCGATGGAGTTTTGGAATGGATTGGGACTGGGAAAAGCGAGAAGTGCTCTTGCTGGTATGCCATTTTTTTTTAATGGAATGATAGATCATGATTGCAATCAATACCCTTTGCGCTTCTATTCCACTGAATAAGTATATGCGATTCTGTGGTCATCTTGAGTGCGATTCCATCAGCATACATTGCTCGCACTCAATCTACTGAATTCAGTACATCGATTGATTCAACATCACACAATATCACTAAGAATTCTGCCTGGCAAAACAAACCATTCTCAACAACGACACTCAAAGCCTATTCCTGGTATCATCCCTGTTATACAACCCATCAATGGCATTTCCACCTCCACAACGCCCCCCCAAAAAACGCCAGATCCCAAACCCGCTCCCTGGTCTCATTTCTCCGCACGCCCAAACGCCGACAGATGATCGAATACGAAGAAAATGCAGCAGCAACGACGACGACAACAAAATCGAAAATCGAAAATCGAAACGAAAAAAACACGCTTACATCCGACTAACCTGCACCGGCACCCCAGGATGCATATTCAGAAGATATTGCGGCCCGGGCATGGCACCACCACCATACACCACCGCACCAGCCGTGCCCCTCGCACCCCTACCCCCCCTCTCCCCATACCCCGCGTACGCCTGTGGAACTGGCGTTGTAGAAACGGAGCTCACGCTGCCGGACTCCATTTTCGTCAGCATCCACTCTGCGTCACTACCATGTGAGGCTGGCAATTGTGCTCGAGCAGCCGCGCGAGTGCGTGAATAGGCAGAGCCGCGCCTGCGGATGCAGTGGGTGAGCAGGATGCAGAAGGTGGTGACGAGGAGGGCGAGGGCGGTGTAGGCGAGGATGATGGGGCGGGATTGCATGGCGAGGTGGAGGCCCAGACCGGCGGTTAGGATGAGGGTGGTTAGGGAGAGGGTGGAGAGGGGGGAGTGAAGAGAGGGGAGTTTGGGGTGGAGGGTTGAGAGGTGGGGGAGGGGGAGGAGGGAGAGTAGGGTTAGAGGGAGGAGGGATATGTATGCGAGGATTTGGTGGGGGCTTGTGTGGGATCTTGACTGGCGGGGGGTTGCGTTAGTTGCTGTGTGTGTATATGTGTGGTCTGGTGAGGGAGGGGGACTGAGGTGGGAGAGAAAACAAAGGGGGAACACTCACGCGGTTGTACTGCGCACTCGTCGCGATCCCCAGCGCATACGCAATGGTCAAACAAACCAGAATCAGCACACTCACACCCCGATGGATTCTAATATTCTTGAAGAACCCGGCGACAATGAGGTTGAGAGGCCACAGCACAAACAAGGCAACACACCCGACAACCGCATGGGCAAGCTTCTTCGCATCAGAATCCCTCGTCATGCCCCGCGTAACAGCAACGCCATTCTGCGCCTTGCTCTGCGCCGGGACACCGCCTGTCCCCGTAGCGGCCAGCATGTCCATGGTGAAGGTGCCGTAGCGGATGTGGCGCTTGAGATGGGCATGTGGGGAATCGGATTGCAGTCTGTTTCCTGGGCCGAAGGCGTAGATGATGGGTTGGGCCTGGGAGGCTGTGTCGAGGAAGCCATTGGGCCAGACGCGGCAGTTGCGGCAGCGGGCGGCGAGGAGGAGCTGGGAGTCGTTGATTTGGGTGCCGGGGAGGATGTCGAGGGTTACGGTGGGGGTGAAGGATGGCTCTGTGTTTGAGGAGCCGAGACGGGGGGATATAGTTACGTCTGCAGGTTTATGTTCGATGAATGATGGACTTTTTCTTGTTTTCTCCTGGGGTTCCTGGTGGACGACTTACTGTCACCCTTTGCATTGGGATACATGATGAACATGAGACTATTTTCCATCTTCTCCCCAAACCCGAACCCGACCCACGAGTATGCAGGACTAGACAAGTACAAGAACACATCACTCGAGTCATTCGCAATGTTGACCGAGAACTGTGTTCCTGTTTCCTCAAGCCAGAACGTCGATGCTGATACTGGCGCTATGGTGGAGTTTTGAGCCGCAACAAGTGGTGAGAGGACTGTATGGTTATTGCGTTAGCACAACGTCGTCGTCTGGATTGTTACCGGCACCCTCGTAAGCGCAGTAATACGACATTGGTGTACCTGAGAAGAAACTTACCCGCAACCACCCCGAGCAGCCCCCAAACCCTCGCGCAAAATCCCAGCATATCCCACCTATTCCCAGAAACCATGCACTCGACCAGTCAAGCTGCGTCCTCGAAAAGCGTCGAAGCCCCGCCTTCGCAACAACCAAAAAACTCGCTTTCGGTATAGGTATAGCAGTAGCAGCCGTGAACCAGGTTAGATGGGCCGTAGACCGTAGACTGTATGGTAGCCAGACAAATGCATCCAACCACACAAGCCAGCAAGAAAGAAGCTCAAGGACGTTAACGCAAGTAACCGCTACCATACAGCAGCACACCCTGACCAAGAAGAACAAAAGTAAAAGAACCACAAACTCAGCAACACCTCCCAAGTCCAGCTCAGTCCAGCAATCAATTCTCCCTCGTGCCACAAATCAATAATTCATCTCGGTATCACAGAACCGCACCCCTCACACCCTTATAACGCAACCTACCCTATGTACCTCCCCACACAACACACACACACACACACACACAAACTTAAACGCCCTCGCATTCGCATCCTCATGAAACAAAACACCTTGCCCCCCCTCTCCCTCACTCCCCAGCGCTTCGACACCCAAACCAAGCGCCCACATCCCCCTTGCCCTCTGCACGCGCGCGCGCATCCTTGCATAGATAGGGTACCTACCATGGTAAACTTAGCTGGCAGTTGCAGCTGACACGCAGCAGCCGGGGCGCGCAAGCAGCAGCACCGCGACTCATTCCTCTCCTCTGTCCACAGCCCAGCCCAGCCCAGCCCAGCACATCCAAGACAAGCCACACCCATACAGTGAGTGCTGGAACGCGCGCAGTGGCGACCAATAGGGGACGCTGTGTAAAAGGAAAATGGTTGCTGGGTGGTACTTGTGGCGCTTAGTTTCCAGGCCGAGGATTTTGTGTTTCAGGTGTTTGGGGCGAGACTGATGGGGTGCGGGGTCTGAGGGGGTTTGGATGTGGGATGGCGTGCTAGGAAGAGGGGCCGGTACGGTAGGAGGAAGTGGTAATTTTGCTGCCATGTACGGTATGTGATGCGCCATGATTTAGTGAGGCTGGGCGGTAGATGCAGTGGAGTGGGAATGAATGTGGAGGGGTGTGATGTGGGATATTTGCCGGCTGTGAAAATGATGGCGCTGATGTGAGGTGAAGCGAGGGGTGGGTTGCAGCGTGGCAATGCTTTGCATCAGCGGGTTGCTAAGAATAAGACATGCGGTACTCTTACCTACATAGTACATGGTACTGGTACCTGTTGCTGCCATAGTATACTTGCTGACACTGCCAGCCGCTCGTTACTGTATCTGCCAACATCGAGTGCAGGTAGAGATTCACAGGTACCTAGTGTGTACCGTACCTTGCTGCTATCCCAACACGACACGACCTCGGAAAGTATCGGGTGCATGGTATACATGGACTTATATTGGGAACATGATTCTAGTGATTGCCTGAATGGGAGACAAGACGGGGACATGCGACTATTCATGCTTTTCTCCACTTTCAACCTCATGGTTCGTCGATCGATCGGCGCCCCCTTGCCTACTACACCTACCAGAATACGGATGGAATAGGTGGCACCACCACCGCCCGAACACACGCATCGTCTCACAGAGTATCTGGTTTTCATAGTATCTATTCATAGCCAGCAGCGATTCACAAAGCGAAGAAAAAGGTACTGCTTGCCAATAAGCATGTGAATTTCCTAATGAAAAAGAATCCCTGGAGGAGGAAAACAACAGACACTAAACCAGACCCCCACGCCCTCCACCCTCCCTTCGCATACTCCTACTTCGACCCTCCAGGCTGAAAAATCTTCAGTCAAAACTTATCAATACTACCGCCCAGTCATTTGAGCCCATAATAAGAAAACTTCACAAAGAAAGACAACAGTAAAACCACCTCTTTCCTCTCTGCTCGCGTGCGCTCAGGGTATGCTGTTCATAATCGTCATGGTTCATTAATGCATACGTGCCATCGTCTTCCTCTGCGTCCTTGCGGTCGTCATCTCATGCTTTGTCGCGATTTGTCTGGTATCATGATCTGCTATGTCTGTCTTCAGATGAATGCGCGAGAATGGGCTCGTTTGAGTTTGTCTCGGCTGGAAGAACTTTCGTGGCGCTATCGACCCGCCGAAACAAAAGTCGCCGTGTTCCACATCTGTCCTCGGTATGGTGATGGACCAGTTGCTCGAGTCTGTGGCCCGAATCGAGAGGGTATATAAACGTCCCATCTCGAACCCCTTCATCTCATTCGTCTCAATTTGGTTGTTTAGCGATATCCGCCACGGCTGCGGCGACTATCGAAAGCGACTTCATGCTCGTAGAAGCGCTCATCATACGCTGGCGCAGGCCGTGAATCGCGAAGGCTCTTGCGCTCGATCTCGATTTCGCGGATACGGCTCTGACGCTTTGCCCGGATGGTGTCCGAGATTTCAACAAGGTGAAGAACATCCTCCTGTATCACGATTAGCCGGGCCTACTGCAAGGATTTGGGTCAAACTTACATAACGTAGGTACTCCATGACGTAGAAGAATTCATCCGTCTCCTCGTAAGAGTAGCCCATGGACTCAATGGCCTCTCTGATGACCAGATCCTTGGTGATTTCGGTCCACATGTCCTTCTTCTTCTGCTTCACCTAGAAGGCATGGTCAGTCATGAGGCCAATGTTAATTTTGAGAATAGAGGTCGTGCAGCCACTTGTAACGGGCTGGGCGATCGCTCAATGTTCCATACCTCGAGTTCACCACCCCTGCTGTGATCGCGGTTGAGATTGATTTCAAGATCAAGCTCGTCGAATTTCGTTTTCCTGCCTCCGCGGCTCCTAGGAATTCGTCAGATGACGTATTTTGTATCATAGTAGGGGTACTTACTCTCGTCGGTTGATCTCGATCTCAAGCGTCTCGTTCATGGGTGGGGGAGAAGGAGGCGCTGGTGGTGGAGGTGGGGACGGCGTGCGTACCCTGATCACACCTGTGGTCATGTTAGTATGGTTCAATCAAACTAGGATTGATAGACGTACCATGGTCAATGTGTCGGTGATGAGTGATGATCTCCTGAATGATAGGTGGTCTGATTTCTGGTTCAGGGACTGGCGGCGGAGGTGGTGGTGGAGAAGGAGAAGGAGATGGGGTCGGGGCACGCTCCTCCTTGCGCCTGATGATGATTTCGTCTCTAACGACATCACGGTTGTTCGCAGGCGGAGAGTGTTCACGTGGACGACGGATGACGAACTCTTCGCGCTCTCTAGCGATGAGATCACCGCGGTTCCGTGCTGGAGGAGGCAGACTCCTCTCACGGCCTCTAATCGTCAAGGTGCTCCGCTCCCTGCTCGAATCTCGGCCCTCGCGGCTGAATTCCCTGCGGTTGGCGTGGAGCTCGAAGTTACCGTCTCGCTCCTTGAAGCGAATGGAGCCTCGCTCGGCCGACACGTCTCTACCGTTGCGGCTCACCTCACTACGAGAAGCGCGGAAGTCAATGTCATCGCGAGTTGAACGGCCCCTGAAACGAACTTCCTCGTTGTCGACCTCACGTGGACGAGGGCGGCTGGAAGGGGGTCCATCACCACGACGGAAGACGATATCCTCGCGTTCGGTCTCACGGAACTCGGCCTGTCTTGGAGTGGGTCCCCTGGACTGCTCGCGGCGTCGGATTGTGATGTCTGTCTCGTCGGTCTCGACCTCCCTGGCGCGGCTGCGCGAAGGGGGCGCATCACTGTGTCGAATGCTAATATCGTCCCGCTCCCTCACGCTGGGTGGAGGGGGCCGGGCACTACGCATGGAGCGGGTGTCGTCGAAGGTGTGAGCACTGCGGGGACCTTTGGAGAATTCATCATCACGCGACCGGATCACCATCTGACCCGAAGAAGGACGATTGTAGTCCTCACGGAAGAAGTCGGGTGCACTGCTGCGTGGATTCCCTGCAGCACCGCGACGCAGCTCGAAGTCAAGCTCATCATAGTTGCGCTCGCTGCGGTTGCCGTTGCGGTAGAAATCGCGCTCTCGCTCCTCATACAAC